AAAAAAAAAAAAAAATACACAAAACAAAATTTCATAATTAGAGAAATTTAAATTGGTTTGAGACAAAATTCATTCATAGAAAAAAAAAAACAAAAACAAAGCATTGTAGATTCCTTTACGTTGTGTAAGCAATTTGATGAGCAAATTTAGTGAATTGTTTTCTCATGATTGGGTATTGAAAGTGTGAAGCTAAGCTGTATTTATAAGTGACAAAAAATACATATAAAAATAAATACAAATAAATGCATGTGTTATACATAGTATCTATATATATATATATACACACATACTTATAAATAAATATAATATTACCGAAAATGCATATATACATATTATGAATTTAATAGTTAATTGATGAAATAAATATTGAGAAATTAAAAAAAATTGTTGTTGTGTACTCATTCAGTGGAGATCAAAGGCAATGTATATTTACACGGTTTGTCCTAAAAATAACCGAACTTTATATGTAAATCATACAACTTACAGCGCCATCTATTGGAAATTTGCAACATAAAAAGATACATTCATCCTCTTTCAAGCTGGTGAAAAAAGTCCCTGAAATCATTGGTATCGATGCAAATTTTACTACGAGAATGTTGGCTGAGGAATTGAATACGAGTAAAAACACTATTTGGAGAATTTCAATTGAAGATTTGGGGAAAAGAAAGGTCTGTGCGCGATTTGTTCCACATGAATTAAATGACGACCAAAAAATCGCTCGAATTTTTAATGAAAAAAGGGATTTCTCTCATCGACCATCCTCCGCATTCGCCTGATCTATCACTATGAGACTATTTTTTATTTCCAAAACTGAAAACCAAGATGAAGGGAGCATTTTATGATGATATCCCAGCCATTCAAGCAGCCGTAACTGAGGTACTGAAGAACATTTCTATAAATGACATAAAAAAATCTATGCAAGCGCTGGTTGATCGTTCCAAACGTTGTGTTGAGTCAAATGGAACCTATTTTGAATAAATAATAACTTTCAAAGATAAAATAATGTGTATTTTATTTTATATCCAAAAAGCTCGGTTATTTTTGGGACACACCGTGTATGTTTGTACATAGATAGACAGTTGCAGAAAATTCTAGATTCTATCTGTTATGCTGAAAAAAAGCAATCAAATTACGTTTATACCTTGTCAACTGAAAGTGAGTAACGGAAAAAATACCGTGACATACTGATCAAGAGATATTTCAAGTTACAATGATTTGTTTTTCGTGCAAAAAGTTTCCGGCTTTCACAGTTACAACAGAAATCTGTCTCACTTACATTTTGCCATTTGAAGGTAATACGAGGCGTGATAATTAAGTAATGAGACTATTTCCATAAAAACCGTAAATATTTCAAACCTATTCTACAACTCTGCCATCCCCTTCAAAGTAGTACCCTTGGGCAGCTATAAAACGATTCCAGCGCATTTGCCATACTTCGTAACATTTCTGGAACGCTTCGACTGGGATGTCCGCGTTTACCCTCGTCACGACCGCCTAGATGTCTTCAAAATACACATCTCGTATTTCTATATACCACTCTAAGGGAAACATTTGTACCTATTGGCGCAAAACTGGAACAATAGATTTTCATCGGTTTCTCCGGCGGCCAATTCTTTACCAGCCAAGTCGATCGCCGTGAACAGCAACAGATGGTACTAACTTAGTGTGATAACTGGTCTATAAAGGAGATGCATGAAAACCTCCCAACCAAGCTGTCGAAGCTTCTGGCCAGTCACTATCGATGTGTGCGGTCTGGCATTGTCCTGAAGAAACACTATTGTCCTCCTGTAGGCTTTTGCTATTACTTCCTTTAGACGCTCCAATTGCTGATAGAAAACGTTCGAATTAAGAGCTCGGCCATAGGGGAGCAGCAAATAGTGGATGATTCTTTGCCACGCCCACCAAATATTGGAGAAAAATCTTGATGGCCGTGCATTCTGGTTCTGTTACTGAATGTTTCAGGTTATTACGATTCAAGCAACTCCGTTTTTATTCGAAGTTGCTACAAGTGATCCACTTTTCATTCACCAGTCACCAGAAATGGGTCGATTTTTTTATGGCTCGGCAGCAATTCGCAGACTGATATGCGGTCCAAGGGTTTTGTTGCTCGTTGACTTATGTGGCTGCCATACATCGAGCTTCTTTGTGTATCCAGCTTTTTTCATATAGATCCATACTATCTTTAGCTCCTGGGCAATCGAAACAGTACTCGTATGACGGCCCGACCTTCCAAGCCATGGAGCCTCTTTTATATCGAAATTTCCGCAACAAAAATGACGAAATCAAAATTGTGCATTATTGATGGTTACAGTATTAGTAACATAAACATTATTCGCATTTTCAGCTGATTTTTCACCTTTAACGAGGAGACTTTGTAGTATATAGCCCGTTTTCTCTTTGTGAGTCTCCATCTCTGACATGCGCAGAAGCCCTACCGAGTTAAGCACTCAAATCTTCTATCGTTTTCTTATTTAGTACTAAATATGATCTTACTAAGGCCATTTAGCGTAATCCCTACGCATTTAGAGAACTCGAGAGACAGTTCACTAAAGCCATCTACTGCAAAGGATACTTTTACTAGACCAATTTTTACCGACTGTAGGAAGCATGATAAATAGACGAAACTGATCACTTCGAATCTTAAAAGGAAACAAAAACACACATAGTTCTTAAAAAATAAAGAGTGATTCAAATATTGCAAATGTCACCTTGTCGCTTGTAGATAGATAGGAAGGTACAGGCCGGACAGGTTCTTAGTTATAGAGGTTACAGCGAGAAATACGATAACTTATACAGGTTTTCACTTATCAAGGTCCGGGAGCTGAGGATTATTTTCTCTTACAGAGTTTTCTCGCTTACATAGTTCTCACTTTATTAGACTTCCCTGTAATTAAAGAATTTTGCTTAAAATTTCTCTCAGAGATAACTTCCAAAGGGGTTAGAAAAAGCATATTATTCTTACAACAAAATATATGTTCTGACCTGGAAACTTATTAAAGATTCATCATACACACAGTTGAATACATCAAATATAGAATATTCTCGAGTTTATTATTAATTCATTCACTTCGGATTGCTTGAAAATGTTCATTGGGAACATGGTTTTCTAGTGGTCCATATGCCTAGTAGTGCTTCCTGCGCGAATAACTTTTTTTTGGATTTGGCTCCTAATTAAACACCCATGTTTTTGTTGTTGTCGTTGTTGTTGTAACCGCAAAATTATTCCCCAAAGTACTTTTTGGGGAATGCTGCGGGAGTGACAGTCCTTGGCCGAATAAAAATCCGTGTCGTTCCGGTATAAAGACCCGACTGTCGCGGGAACTATTGGATTTTAGTCGCCTCTTACGACAGGCATGCCTTCTTGAGCCCCTAACCCGCAGGGGAATTAAACACCCATACTTTCGACTGCTGTATACTTTCAGACTCATAAGCGTAATCGACGTTTCCTCTGTTTGCCGAACCCTGGCTTTCAGAATCACAGTACGAAATCACTCGGCTATTGCGTTTGAATATTAATTTTAATTAAATCGAAAACTCTAATTGATTTATAGGCAATTGGTCTCTGACAACTGAAAATTATTCGGTGATAAAAGATTTACCAAATACCTATGTATTGTATTGTATATAAAAGGCTACGCGCTGAACGACTGACGGATCAACCTAAAGCCTAAATCATTAATCTTCTGCGTACGACGTAAACATTTGAATAGAAAGGATTTTCTTGAATGCGGACCTCTGACGGATCCATTCGGAAAAATCGACATTAATATTAAATCATTAAATTTTCATTAAAATTGATTTTCATGAAACTTGGTACATAGATATCTCTTAACCTAAATGGACATAGGAAACTCTTTTTCCTCCGGGAAGTAGACTTGTGGTCGAAATATTTTTATTTATTGTTTGATATTTTTTTTGAAATTGTACAATGGTAATTTTGGGTTTAAATTAATATGGCGAAAATTTTATCTTCCGGGAAAAAGGACTGGTCGTCACCAGATCGAAAAATCCTCTTGCGCTTGTTGATTCTCTTCCCGAAACTTTGGGCGATACAAGCGCCGAATAAGATCTAGCCAACAACAAAAGATAGCGCTGTAGGGAGAAGATAGACTAGCTGCAGAAATACTAGTTAAATACCAGTAGTATTTTGAAGATGAAATTATACTAATTTGTTATATGCCAGTTTACGTAGCGGGAGTAATCATAAATTCCAACACCGTTTGTTGTTGCTGTATCTAGCTCGCCACGGCTGAGTTCGATTTCCTGCTTTGCGCTGTTGAATTGCGCAAAATGACGTGGATAACTACATAGTTACGATGGTCGAGTGGTTAGAGCTTATCAGAGCTGAGCATGAGGTTTGCGTGTGGCTGCGGACAAACTCTTTTATGTTTTTTTCTGAATTTTTTTTATAATTATTATTTTTTTTTTGGTGAAGTGGAAACTCAACATGTCGAAATAAACTAGTATACAACTAGTACAAAGCTGATATATGTTAAGACAATTAACAGTTCGATAGATACCGCCTTATTAAAAATACCAGTTGCTTACATGTTGCAATGGATGGAAGGTCAACCAGTTGGGTACTAGTTAACAACTGGTATTTTTTCCCGCAGGGTAACTTTGGACCACCCTGGTGTGCCAAAAAGAGTCTTTTTACTTTTTCTTTGGCTCAAGAAATCCACACACATGTATATATATATATACATATATATTAGTAAAAAATGCACATTGACAATTTTTTCATATTTGCATACGCTGATGCAGACGTCTCTGTTACGCATAACGGTGAAAATTGATAGCACCATATTAAATGTTAAAGAGCGTAACAACATGGAAAGCTGTTCTGCGGCTTTCGTGGTGACGCGCGAATGACAAGTTTCAATTTTTTTCGTCTTTTTCCCCCTTACTACATACTTTTTATTTCTCTTGCGCACTATTATTTACACATTATGAATGAGTAAATTTTATGTGCATTTAAAAATAGTGCGCTTGAAATTTTTATTACAGTAAATCTCCGACAGTGCATCGCGTAGGTTGTCGTTGCAGTGCAAGCAAGCAAGAGGTAATTTAAACTCACCACAGTCCTTTCTCAGAAACACTAATGGAGCAATTAAAAATGAAATTGGCAGTGGTGACCGGTGCCAGTTCGGGCATTGGTGCGGCGATTGTGCGCGATCTAATTGCAGCCGGTTTAATTGTTATCGGTTTGGCGCGACGTTTCGAACGCGTCCAGGCGTTGCGTGAAGACCTTCCCACCGACGAACAGCGTGGACGCCTTCACGCCATTAAATGCAACATTGCCGATGCACAGGATGTAGCTGAAACATTTGCGCGCATCATGCGCGACCACGGACCGGTGCATGTGTTGGTCAATAATGCCGGTTGCTTGCGTAACGGCCAATTGGCCTCAATGCCGGAGAATGAAGTGCAGGAGGTGTTACAAACGAATGTTATGGGCGTGGTCAATTGTACACGGCACGCGTTTGCCGCTATGCGGGCGCACAGCATCGACGGTCACGTGATACTGATAAATAGTATTTGCGGACACAAGGTGCCGGTGATACCGGGCCACATGCCGACCTTGAACATTTACCCGGCCACCAAGTTCGCCCTGACGGCGATTAACGAGATTTATCGGCAGGAGTTCAAAGAATTGGGCACACGTGTGAAGGTGACGGTGAGTGTGGGTGTGAGTGCGAAGCAAGTGAATGTGAGGACTATGGAAAGTCGGATTTAAATTTAAATTGCTGTCATTAAATGTGGGTAAAAGTGAAAATTAAATGGAATCAACTTGAAAGTGCAGCAATTTGGCGAGAAAGTAAATTTATTTTGTATGTGCTTTTATTTAAACATCAGCTTTTACCGTGAGGAGAGTTTAAGTTGGCAAGGAAGGCTTTAAGGATTATGCATTTCTACGTGTACTCTTTAGTGAAGAATATACAGTCTTTATGTTGCTGTTGTTGAAGCAACTTTCGCCTAGTAGAAGAAAAAGTTAGGTTATCTAACGGTAAACGTGCTGTTAAGAAGTGATTATTGACGTATGGACACTCATTGCATGTAGAACATGTGCTTAGTACGTCGGGGGTCAGTTCGGGATTGGGAGAAGTTGAGTCAGTTGACTTTTATTCAGGGTCTCTTGAGTCAGTCGAGCTTTTCGACTGCTTTGGGTGGTGGTTAGGTGCCGAGCACGCCAATCACGGTGCCCTGGACGACGTTTGTCCAGCGGCTCTGTATTATGGAACTTAAAAGAGCTCGTAAAGTCAATACGTGGTGGGTGTTTAGCTTCTGACAGCTTATACGCAAATGGCGTACAAGCGACAACAAAGTCTGATTATTCGGTACACCTGTCTAGTAGTTTTCGGGGTAATATTGCTGCTACAGTCCTCAGGATGGTGTAGCGACTAGCTTCTTTAGTTGCGTCGCTATAGTTCCCAGTGACCAAATTGGTGCAACGTAACTTATAATTGTCTTCATGGCAACAATCAATATTTTTTTTCCTTTTCTCCAGATACTGTCTGTACTTTGATGGTAATCGCCGTCATATATGGAGGTAACGTTCCTATGCTGTCGTATGTGACTCTCAGTCGTTTTGGATTATATATTTCTGGTCGTCAATGGCTGTCATATTAAGTTCAGTTCTGTGGTCTCTAGTCTGGCTGGTTGTAGTTGTAGAAATTAAATAGATACCTGTGATCCGTCATGTAATTTAGGTCCATATCTTCAAACTCAGTGACAATGAGGATTCCTCAAAGTCCGGTAGTAGTCCTGCAACATTGACCTTATCAAAACGTTTTGACAGATCAAATTGCTGCCTTGGCAGAATGTGGTTTTTCCCGTTTTTAAAGCCACCTTCATCAGGAGCAAGACGAGCTACCCTTTTGCTGTTATGTCTGAGTTCAGCAACTTCAAAACCCTTGCCGAAATTGGAAACTATCTCTATAAGATATTCGGTGTTATTACTTACTTATTTAACCTTATGCTGGATAAACTTAATAGAAGAAGGTAATAGACTGAGAAAAGCTCTTTCCAAGAGCTCTGCCAGCCCGAACTATATCTAAAATTCAAGTGGTGAATGGACAACATCTTACCGAGATACTCTGATGACTACCCCAGCGTCGAAGAATGTGACGCATATCCAAGCAACTCGACAGAAACTCCATTTAATATCATATCTGACACGAAGAATATCATAAAATGAAACGGGGTGGAATGGTCAATAAGGTCTTGCTTAGAGTGCAACTTTCCCGCTGAACTTCAAGCAATAACAGAGATCCGGCACTTCTTATTGTGTAGTATTTACTCTGCCTGTGTCTTCATAGAACTAATTCCCACTGCGTGGAATAAGACAAAAGTAATTTCCTACCAAAATGTGAAAGTCTTAGACAAATTAATCCTAAAAAATTTAGGCCAATCAGCCTAACATATTTCCTATTAAAAATCTTACAGAGAATGCTTGGCGTTTATATACGCCTGCCCACTCTAAGGGTAATGTTGCTTATCCCGAAATGGTCAAGAGGATGGAGAATGGTCTGTCACTAAGAAAGTATACATTGAGCGTTTTTCTCGATATCGAGGGAGCTTTTAATAATACTCTCTGAGAAATGGGATTCGGAGCACACTTATTGATCCTGGTGAGATCTATCTTTGAAAATAAGATATGCCAAAAGAGGCACTCTACAAGATGGAGTTATCTCCCAACTCGTTTGGTATCTTGCAGTCAATATTCTGCTCCGCAAGAAGAAGATATCACATGCTGACGACAGCGCCCTCTCATCGACTGGAAAATCTCTCCGAGTTTTGAGGGATCTACTCCAAAATGCCCTTTAAATAGTAAGCAATAGATATTACTTTTCTCCAGAAGGTACAAATCAACTGCTTTTATGTTACCATCACTACTTCTACCGAGGCTAAATACCTAGGTATACTCTTAGATAGTCAGCTGGTCTGCAAGTCGGAAATAGGAAATAAAAAGTGGATACTCGTGGCACTTTTTCTATTGTGTACTGATTGTAAAAAGCGATGGTAAGACCCATATTAACCTACGGGTACCTGAAAATCTCCTTAATTTTCTACTGACATAGTTGTATGGGAAATTACAGGCAATTTGCAGCGCCATAAGTCCAAAAACGATTCAGCCGTTGAGCAACCACACGAGGCGAGTCCGAAAACTGAATTCTACACAGGTGGATTATTCCCGTCGACTTCTGTTTTTTGTTTCGACATCACTTTCTCAACAAAAATCAAAGAGAGGAATGAACTAGAAAACGTAACAGTTCTAGATCAAAGATCCGTATCCATCTTCACTGGCCGTTGAAAACTCGATAGTGTGGGTTGCGGAGTTCACGCTGAACCGCTTGCAATCGACAAGAAAAATGGAAGTTTCCTCCTAATCACTGCAGTGTCGTTCAGGCTGAACCAATGAAATAACTGCAGTAATGGAAAGCGCTTCATGGTTACTTAACTCTGGTACAAAATTAAACCTTTCATAATATATTCCGTTTTTTCCACAATGAAAACTTTATTGCGAAAAAGTGCTTACAGACATATTATTCAAAGTATTGTCCTTCGCTAGCGACAATTTTCTCCCATCTTTCCGGCAATTCTCGGATCCCGGCTCGAAAAAAGGAGTCCTCTTTTGAAGCTATCCATGAAGCAATCCATTTTTCCAATTCTTCGAAGGATTGAAAATGTTTATCTGCCAGGCCCTGTGCCTTCGAACTAAAGCGCATCAGTTGTGTTCGGTAGCGATCTCCTGTGATCATTTCACCCGGTTTCAAGAGCTCGTAGTAAATATTTGAAGGTTTTTTTTTCTTCCACCACCATGCTTGCCTTCGACATCGAAATCACCATTTTTAAAACGTTGAAACCGCTCCCGACACGTTCTTTCACTCAGAGCAGCATCACCGTAAGTTTCTGAGAGCATTCGATGCGCTTCAGCTGCATTTTTCGAATTGTAACGGAAAAGTAAAACTTCCCGCAAAGGGCGAGAATTAGGCACATAAACGGACAGTTTCGAGTGTGAATAATACGAAAACAAGAACAACTGTCACGGAAACGGCGATGACAATTCGTTAGACACTGTCCACACTCACTTTAAAGGCATTGTCATCTATTGTATGTATCGGAAAACGGCGGAAGCAAAGTTGTACACCTGATATTTAGATTTGAAAATTATTAAAATTCGTGAAGGTAGAGCAAGACCCACTTTAAAGCTATCAGAGGGAAAGAGACGCATCCGACATCACTCTCATCATAGTTTAGAATCGTGTAACAAAGGCTAGCTAATCAAAAATAAGCTCGATGAATAACCATCAGTGAAACGCAACTAAAACGGGACTCAATCGAACCATCTTCAGAGAACGTAGAATAACGAGGAGTACCGATTGGGGACAGGTGTATGAGCTGCTAGAATCGACGAAAGAAATAAGAGACAATCTCACCACTGCAGCCAGAAATTGACTCTGCTTGTCAGTATTTCTGAGTAAGATAATAATAAATTAATAAAATAATTGTCCCCCAAATATCATTCTTCTGTAAATAATTTGTCAGTCTCTGGTAGTTCGCTGTTAACAAGCGGGGAAATAGTCTCTTACTAATATCGTATAGAGGTGAAATAGTCTCTTAGCAACTCCGTAGGTGGTACAAATGACAATCGGCATGCCCCGATCCTTCTCTTTAATATACGTTCTCTGCCATCTCTTTCTGAAGTGATTCATAATGATTGATGAAATTGGTTCTACTCTAATAGAATTATAATGAAGAATATATTATAATAATGATAATAAGTAATTTTGGTAAGCAAGAATTTAAAATTATTAGCTTTCTCAGCTTTTCGAAACTTTAGAGGAAGATAGAATTTAACATTTTTTTTTTAAATGACAGCAAATTAGTTACTTTATATACTTTTATTATAATGTGAAAAATAATTTTAATATTCTTTTTTTACTATAGTTCTTATATATTTTTTTCTAAAACTATTGCCTATTTCGCAGAGTATCAGTCCGGGCCTGGTTGACACGGAACTTATATCGGAGCGACAGAAAAAAATTGTCGATGGCAAAATCCTCACACCAGAGAATGTGTCGGGCGCCGTCATGTATGTGCTCTCACAGCCACCGAATGTACAGATCTATGAGCTCATAATGAAACCAATGGGGGATTTGATATAGAATATAATATTTTATATATCTGGATATGCAAATGTTTATAAATGGGCAATTTGTAAGAAGGGATTAAAATAACTACTATTATATTTGATTACAATGAAATAATATTTTTAAATTTATTAATATTTGCTTAAGTGCTAAAATTTGCTGACTATAAATGGTTGGCTAATAAAAAATATTTATATATATATTAATATCCAAATATATGTATATATATTTAAAACATAAATAAATTCTTAAGTACTTAGAAGCTAATTAATTAGTGAAGCGAGCTGTCAAGCTTGAAACCCTATCAAGCGCACTTAGTTCTACTGGCCCGTTGTGATATCATAGACATCTGTACTGTTAAAGAGATTCCTTTCATCTTTCCAGTTGCGCAAACTATTGTTAAAGAGCTGGACAGTGCTAGAGTTAATATTCCACCATATCCTCCTCAATTATATCCCTGCAGCTGTAGCACAGGTCATTTGAGAAGCAGTCCATCCTTCTATCACGAGTCTCCATGAGAGAGTGTTCGGTTATTACACCGGTTGTTATGCTTATCGAGTTCCGGTTTAGATTTAGTAAAGACTTAGTTCTGTTTATGTCGACCAAGAGCCACATTTATCTTGTCACATTACACGTGATTTCGATCTACCAACTGCTATTGGCTCTGCTGATAAAGGCTCGTCTTAGCAGATACTTGCAGAGGAAAGCGGCATGCCCACGTCATGCGCCGAGCTTAGTACATTGGTTAGGACAGTTTTCTTTTGGTAATTTCATCGGCTAGGCAGCTCTCAGGGATAGCTCTATGACCAGTCACCCAAATTACGGATATTTCGCATACAGTCGAGGGTTTGTTTAAGATCTCTCCAATTTTGTGGCCGCCTTTTAAATGGTATGGTTTCATTGGAGAGACTTAATGGCAGTCTTCCTGGCAGAATATATTATTCGGCTGGGTTATCGTATTAGAAATGAGCAATCATTAAGCTGATTACGTTATCGTGGTTAGTTTCGATTTAAAGATGGTATTTTACTTAATTCTATAGCAAGAGGAACAGTGTAATCTTCACAACCCAATTTGCTACCTAGTTTAGAGCCGCCGGTGAAGATTGCTGCGGACCTATGATCGAGAACTATTGTATTTTCCAATTCGTTCCCTTCTGAAATTTTTGTTGATAAAGCGTTGTCGTAACAGTAGATGGAGGTGTTGTAGTCCACCTCATCTGAGAATCAGGTTGAGTCTAATATTTGGGCGTGTTCAATGTGCTTCCTGCATTGGTTGAGTTGCATTCAATCTACTGTGAAGTTTGCCTTATGATTTTGCCGAGAGAAGATTAATCAAATCGCGAGTTGGCAGCTGTGAGCCTTCAATAGCTTCTCGAATTCCATCCTTGAGGTCTTGAATTGAAGTTGGCATGTTGGCGTAGACCTTACCTGCCACGTGGCTCCAAAGGAAGAAGTCGCAAGGCGTTAAATCATAAGATATTACAATCACCTCTTCAAAATATAGCTGGGTCGACACGGTCCGCAAACTTTTCCCTTAAAAGTTCGATGGTTTCGTTGCTTGTGTCTTGTTAAAAGTAAACGATGTCCAATTACTACCATTCAATTCCAGCCATAAAAAATAATTAATCACCTCTCGATAGCACAATCCGTTCACCGTAACTGTTGCTCCAGCCTGATTTTCAAAAAGGTCCAATAAGCCCGCTGGACCATAAGAAGTTTTTCAACAATAAAACAATGTTTTTTTCGAGGCTCAGATGTGACGGTTTTGCTTATTGACGGGGCCATCGAGGGGGAAATCAGTTAGGATGATTTTTCGATGAAATTTCGGACTCAATCAGCGAAGGCACGATGTTGTTGATAATCGGACGGCTTGAGTTCTTGTATTAACTGAACTTAGTAAGCCTGAACACCCAAGCGTTTATGCAAAATACGTTGTAATGACGTTTGTGGTATGCTCAAAACCTAAAGAACGACGGAAAATGGAAAAAACATGGGTTGTCTTCAACACTTAGGGCTACAGCAGCAATATTCTCAGTTTTTCTTGAGAGAGGTTATATTCTTCACATCACTAAGTTGTCTCAACAGCTCCAGTTTTTTCCCCCAATTTCTGTTTTGCGGTCCAAAAACGGTGTTTCATGACGACCCAAAAATGTTTCAGTCTTACGAACCATCTCTGCTAGGTTTTCCCCATTTCGACAGTGAGTTTCAATAATTTCTAAGCATTGTTGAGGCATATGCTGTTCCTTTTTTGTTACAGACGTAGGTTTTACTTGTCAAATGTCAAGAAAATGACAGCTTCGAGAGTGACATCTAGCGAGCTAGCAGCTATTCGAAATTACATCTCTGTATTTGAAACCCCTTTTTTTAGATAAAGTTTCTGTTATCTGTGAATTGGTAAAAAAATTATAAAATTAAAAATAACAGAATTTAAAAGTGTTTTTATTAAAAAGCAAACGAATTTTCGAAACTTTTTCCAACATTATTTTACAGTTCATAGCAGCATATTTGCAAACCAAAAGTCTCTGCTATAATTTTAATCAAAGTTGTCTCCGCTCTCTGATAATATTTTGACTAGTAAATAAAAGAAAGCGTTTGTGGTGTAAGTTTTCCTCGCACGAATTTCGAAAAAAACACAAACAATTGTATGTATGTACGACTATGCACATTGAACTCTAACCTCTTCATGGCTCAGGTGTATCAAAAATAGGAGAGAAAAAATAAAGTCTTCATTTTTAAATAGTCAAAATATTTTCTATTTCTAGTTTTATTACTATATCAAATAAGAAATCTACTGTCGCTCGTGCCACCTACGCAGGAGTATGGAGATTGGAGATGGGATAAATATTTGAAATGAACTTCCATGATACCTTGTACTAAAGCAACATATGTATATACTCGTACCATAATGCAATATCAGCCGAGAAATGTGGAAAATTTTAATAATAAAGCATTGCCGTCTCTGCTTGGAACAGTTCTCCCCTTCTTCCCCACTTTCTATTACGTAGTATTTTGCAATATCATACAGTCAACTTGTCACAAGCTAAAAATAATATTGAAAGCCTTTTCGATGGTATGTGGTACGTTAGTTTCTTGCCATGGCGTAGAAAGCAACAGTAGCAGCAGCAGCAGCTGGCGTGTGACAATAATAAGAAGAAGATGATGGCTTACCTCTGCATATCTATTTTTGTTATTGTAAAAATGTATGAAATGTAGTAATATAATAAATGTAAATATGTTTGCTCATAAAATTTGTTTTTTTTTTTTACATACCCCCGTATGTACATATCGTTTATATACACATTTTATTTACCTATAAATACAACTTGTTATTGTAAACCAAAAATCTTTTGTGTTGTTCATAGCCTGTGCCACAATGAAAGACACCACAGGTGTCGACCACATCGTAAATGAAACCTTTGTGGTTAAAAGTCTGATTCGCTTTGAGAGACATGTCTCATGGTCAGAAGGGGGTCATTGATTGTACGGAGATTTGCCGAGGCTCTTTGTATAGGGAAAACGTATGTGTGTGCGCTTAAATATCTTAAAAAAATACGCAAAATATATTCAAACAGTAGCAGGCGTTCTTTAAGAAAATATATTATGCATAAAGCGAGATATCAGCGTAGCGATACATTTCAAGTTAATCAAAGAATTTCGAAAATTTCGCTTGAAACGTTTGAAAATGTTATCGTTAAATCAGTTATAAAAATAAATTTTATTTATTGATTTCAGTATCGCAACGAAAAGTTGTTGTTAATATTAAAGCGTTAACAGAAAATGTTCAATCCTTAACGATAATGTTAAATGGTTAACAGAAAATGTTAAATAATTAACAGAAAATGTTAAATTGTTAACAGAAAATGTTAAGTCCTTAACAGAAAATGTTAAATGGTTAACAGAAAATGTTAAATCGTTAATAGACAATGTTGAATCTCTAACAGACAATTTTAAATTGTTAACAGACAATGTTAAATCGTTAACAGACAATGTAAAATCGTTAACAGAAAATCTTAAATGGTTAACAGAAAATGCAAAATCGTTAACAGACAATGTTAAATTGTTAACAGAAAATGTTAAATCCTTAACAGAAAATGTTAAATGGTTAACAGACAATATCAAGTCCTTAACAGACAATTTTAAATTGTTAGCAGAATGTTAAACATTAACAGCGAGTTTTTGAGGTTTCAACATTAATAATTTTATTTCGTTTCGTTAACATGACGCTGGAACGAAACAAAATTAATTCATTGAATTTGTTTTCATTTGAACAAAACGAAAAGGCATCGTTTCATTGGTGGCGACACAGTTTTAAGGTTTGCGCGCATAAAAATTGCTCCCAGGATAGTTTATGTTAGAAAAGTGTTGAAGAATAGTAAAGAGGTCAGTGAAGAGAACCTCCCCACCGAGCGAAACAATTGAATTACGTTTGTAAGTTAGTCACACAGTTGAGCACAATCGGAATATCTGACAAACTGTACAAGCATCAGCTGTTAGTGTGTGAATGAGAAAACTTGTTGGATAACTACTGGGTGTATAGAGATTGGTGACTAATAGCGGATGGAGAGTGAAAGAAGTCAAGTGAAAGTTGGTGAAATAATCTTATCAACCTGTGTTCACATTTAAGCCTTCGATATCACGAAAGATCCTGCCCATAAGCTTCAGGAATCCTCGCAAAATAATACCCGCTACAGAGTTAAAAAGGGAAAGTAAAATTTGCCATGATAGCGTCCAACTGCTAACCGATGACGATTATATTAATATCATCATTGCGCTCTGGTCTTGGTTTCTTCGCCGCTGTCATAACCTTCAGGTCCTGGATAATTTTTTCTATCTAGGAACCAGCAATGAACAATGTAAGTCTTTGAACTCTTGCCAACAGATGGTGCTTTGGACTGAGTAGACAGCGTTGCCGATGTGGTTCGATCGAACCAAAATTGGTTGTTTAATTTTCCTGTTCTCCGGTTTGTTTGGTTATGTTTTACACTATTTTTGTAATTTCCAAAATAATGGGTCAAGTCCAAATTTTTTGGTTTAATTTTACACAGCTTTTTGAAAGGGAATTTCGCTCATATTTTGTGACATGTTGCACCATCTTGTTCCTCAATTGCAGGCCAAAAAGCCGACGTTATCATGCGACTAA